ATATGTATATATATATATATATATATATATATATATATATATATATATATATATATATATATATATATATATATATATATATATATATATATATATATATATATATATATATATATATATATATATATATATATATATATATATATATATATATATATATATATATATATATATATATATATATATATATATATATATATATATATATATATATATATATATATATATATATATATATATATATATATATATATATATATATATATATATATATATATATATATATATATATATATATATATATATATATATATATATATATATATATATATATATATATATATATATATATATATATATATATATATATATATATATATATATATATATATATATATATATATATATATATATATATATATATATATATATATATATATATATATATATATATATATATATATATATATATATATATTTTTTTTTTTTTTTTTATCTCATGTAAATCCTAAATATCTTTATTAGCATTTTGTTATTTATATCCATTTTTTAATGCATTGTGAAACCCCCACAAAGATAGCTTTGAAGCTGGCATGGCAATAAAGGAGGAATGCATAAATAATAAATAATGTTCTAAAACGCTATTTATTTCTAGTAAATTATTAATTTATTTAATAATTATAGGGGGGGAAAAGTACAAACACCAGACTTTTAAATGGTTATCTGCAGCTCTGTTGAAACAGGCTTCCCACATGTTTTTCTTATTGAAAACATGTAACTGTTATAGGGCTCAACAGCATGGGTTGCTTTTTTTTAATCTGATCCAGACTGTTGTTGCAAACTCTGCTGATTTGTTAGTAAAATTATGTTATCTGGCATTGTGTTGAATTTGCAGAAACGAATTGTGATAATCCCGAAAGCAACAGAAAATGTACCCCAGTCTCTAATCTCTGTCTCTTTGTGGGTCTCTCTCTCTCCCTCTTTGGGCAAGTTGGCAGTGCAAGTTTAACATATGTAATTGTTTTGAGCTCTGAGGGAAGATCATTTATGTTTTTGGTGTGATGTAACTTTGGAGCAGGCTGATTTTTAAAAAGTTAATACAATAAAATAAAAATAAAAATACTTTTAAATAAGTTTTTAATCTTTAAATGCATGTTCATTTCCTTTATTATCATTTATAAATGATCTTTTGTCATTTTTTTTCAGGAGGGAAGAGCCACTGTCAATCAGGACACCAGGCTGGACAACAGAGTTATTGATCTAAGAGTAAGCCCGTTTCCGTTTCTTTCTTTTCATTTAGGAGGAATCAGCTTTGCCAAAGACTCAACTGCCATATACACTAGTGCATTTTATGACATACGTTTTGTTGCTATTATTAAGTATTATTCTCTGATTTGCCAATCTCCACTCATATGAACATTTTACAAGTGGTGTACAGCATTTACAGATGCTGTCAAAATGTGTTTGCCCATGGATCATGAACGGTAATGTATTACGCATTTTAGGATGTATAATGTCCATTGTAAAAGGAGCATTTTCATTGTAAAATGTTGTTTAATAACAAAATGCAGCCTCAAATTTGGTTGTTAAGCGTGACCCCTAATTAGTCACATGCCATGACTCGGATTATGGGTGATTGGCCCTATACAAGCTGAGTAAATGTAAAGGGTATTTTTGACTTTGGCTTGATTTAACCAGTTGGCAAGATTTGCTGTGTTCAGTCAGGTGAGCGGTAAAGATGTGGAGTCAGACCCTATCTGCTTTACATAGTAACACTCATCAGGGTTTGCGTACTTTTTCACAGATGAAGTGGATAAGATGCACTGTTTGTCAAATACATAGATGTTTCAACAAGTTTCCGAACAAAAACACTTCTTAGCTGCTTTTAAGGGAGGGATAGATACACCTGAAATTCTATGTATTCACTAGGCATGAGATGACAATCGGTTTCAAGGTCCACTGCCATTTGGAAACGTCAAGGTTTTAATACCACGAAAATGTTCTATTATACCGTTCCCAAGGTATATGTAAGGTTAAAGAAATCTGTGTTTTTGAAACTAATGAAGAGAGCAGAAGTCAATTATTTATTTTAGAATGACGTTTAATGAGTTTACTGTTACTAAATATTATAAATGTTTTTTTTTACATAAATTATTTTAAAACAGGGAAAAATATTTGTAAATATATATATATATATATATATATATATATATATATATATATATATATATATATATATATATATATATATATATATATATATATATATATATATATATATATATATATATATATATATATATATATATATATATATATATATATATATATATATATATATATATACATACACAGATATATATATATATATATATATATATATATATATATATATATATATATATATATATATATATATATATATATATATATATATATATATATATACACAGATATATATATATATATATATATATATATATATATATATATATATATATATATATATATATATAT